GTATCTCCTTTTCACAAGATGGAAACTATTGAGATATCCTACATACGGGAATGCAATTATTCCGATTATTAACAGAATCCAGGACACTTCATGAGGCCGCTGACACAAAGACGACCATGTCAGAGTGGATCTCATTTGGTTTGTCTTGCATGTCCCGGGTCATGCTCCTGATCCCAGATGATGTGTCTCCTGCACATCTGCTTTGTAACCTTTGCTCATCGTTCAGCTCGTGGTCAAGATTCAACATGTTCTCCGTCATGTCTCCTCTTATCCGGGTCACATCAGGACCAATCTGAGTCTTTTGTGTGTTTTTTATCTGGACCTAAGTGGGCCAATTGTGCCGCTTTCATGTCCCACAGGTGCGTCACGTGTTTTATTTGGTGGATAATAGGGATAGTGGGGGGGAGGAGGGGCTGCTGGGTAAAAAAAAAACAACAACATTCATGCTGGTCGCTAGCTGGTTGTCGTCCTGCAGCAGACGTTTGCGTTTTGTGACAAACAGACTGGGAGGAAGACAGACAGACACACACACACACACACACACACACACACATGGGGAGGAATGCTGCTGTACGCTCAGATAAAAACAGGGAAGGAAGTCTGAGTGCGGTTGCCATGACTACCGCACCCTTCACACCCTGCCCCCCTTTTTACACCACATCAACAACACGCTGACCACCACCAGACGAACGAAAAAGCAGGGAGATGAGATGGGAAAGCGTTTGAGATTATCTCCCAAGTGTGTGTGTGTGCAGATAAGAAGTTGTGCCGCTGCAGAATGACAATTAATTAGCGCACGAGAGGCGCTATCTGGACCTCGCTATGCTAACATGTGTGTGTGTGTGTGTGTTGTGTGTATGTGTGAGCATGTGTGTGTTGATTTCTTCCTGCTATTGTCACTTGTGGCATGTGTGCAGTCATGTTCCTGTGTGTTTCGGTGGGTTCAGACTGAGGCTGAATTTTCAGTGTTGTATGATTCAGCTGCATGATAGTTGGTGTTTTCTCTTTAATTAAAACCAGAAAACAAATAAAATACTAATTTTCATCTCCCTATGTATCTCCAAATATGCATTTTTTTGGATACACATAGACATTTTCTTTTCTTTTTTTCGGATTGTTTAAAATCCTCTACTCCTCAAGCAAATAATCCATCCCATACAATCCATTTATAGAATTGTGAAGATGGAAGATAATCTTTAAAGTCCAGCAGCAGATTTGAATATCACAGGACAAGAATTTAACAGCGTTAACACAGTCAAAAATGAAAATATCCTCTACTTTGAAGATTGCAAGATAAACCGTTTCACCATTCACATTGCAACGTGCAGGGACTTGCAAATAATTGTGTAATATTTGCCAACTCTGTGCATTGCTGCATGACATTACACTGCCCAAAAGTTCTATTTTTTTTAAAGTTTATGACCTTGTAATGTTACTGACATTAATTAATAAAAGATAGTGTTTTCATGCAGCTCTATTATCAGTTTAAATCCACTTCTTCAACATGTACACACACAGAAGAAGCAGCTTTTGCAGAGTTGCAGCAGCAGTGTTAGCCTTCTGCCAGTGTCCGCAAACGATGCATTCAAGTGCAATATTGAGTGTAGGTTCCCCACATTTCTGCAGAGCTCAGAGTCCCATTGTATCAGCAAATGTCAGATAATTGAAGGTACACTGGTGTAGTTGTTGACAAAGACCGGTTTTAGGTTTGTTACAAGTGACAGCAGATTTTGTGTGATGCTTAAGCCCTCTTTGTCCTCCTTCGTTAAGTGTGTTTTTGTGTGTGTTTGCATATGTTGATGGACCTTTATCCATCACAGTCCATTACCTGAGGCACTGAGAGGAGTCCTGCACACACACACAAACACACACACATGTAGAACACACTCTGGGCATGCTGTGTCACCAGCGGCAACGAGCGATCCTTTCACGCTGACCCACATAGAGAGGGAGAGAGAGAGAGAGAAGAGAGAGAGAGGATGAATAGAGGTAGAGAAACGGGGGAGAGATATAAAGAAAAGGGAAGATCGAAAAGAGAGAGAGAGAGATAAAGAAGCAGAATTGGAGCAACAGAAGAAAAGAACGATCATCGAGCTGAGTGGAGGACGTGCTGACTGAGTCTTCAAGTGTCCTTTACTGTCAGCTTTAATGTTTGAGCTCTATCTAAAAGCTGCTTTTACCTGTGTGTGTGTGTGTGTGTGTGTGTGTGTGCGTACGTGTGTGTGTGTGTGAGATACTGTGTCGTCATTAAGATTTAAACTGTAGCGTTCAGCTGACGGATCTCTCAAGTGTCTGGTTTTCTCCTCCGTCGTTTCAAATGTCGGCCGTCATTTAAACGCTGGTAGTGATGAACTCCGATGTCACCAGCGTTGTCACCGGTGCGACTGACACGATGCCTCACCGGCTTCTCAACTGCAAACACCGCAGGTAACGTTGGCTGTAAACGCTGGAGGTCATAGGTCAGCATGGGAACCCCCCGCGCCCCAACAATCCAGCTCTCAATTCCATGATGTCATAATATATTTCAGACATTAGACAATACTGTATAATACAGAGTTGGCTGGGAAAGCATGTTTTTTTTTAAGTATCATGCACTCTGTGATTATTGAATGTGCACTTAGTGATCTGGGCTTCATAAATCATTTAGCTGCAGACTGTGTTTAACTTTGGCCCATGCTCAGAGTTTTGTAGTCTTATGGGTTTTTGAAGTCGTTAGTGAGATAAATGAATTCTGACTGCCTTCAATATGTTGATTAGAATTGAATTATTTTCTCTTTTTAACAAAACGCTGATGCTATGAGGCACATTACCTGGAGTTTTCTGCACTGTAACTGTAACTCTGCTCAGACTTCAAGGACTAAATGTCTTTCTGAATCTGAATTATTCTTAAAGAGGACATATCATCCCCCTTGTCCACCTTTTCAAACAGCCCCCCCTGGGGTCTAAATGAAACATCTGTGCTGTGCTTTGGTCAAAATATAACATGAATCAAGCACCAGAGGAGGTTTGTGACCCTGTATAAACCAGCTCTCTCAGAACGCTCCGTTTTGGTGTGTGTGTCTCTTTAAATGAATTTTCCCGGTAGACTTCACTCCTCTTTAGCGAGAATAAGAATGGCCGACTTGCGCAAAAGTTTTGTTCTAGACTGGGGGTGGAGTCCATGGGTGGAGATTCCAGGGGAGGGGAGAGTTTTTTTTTTTTTTTTACCAGAATCCCACTGTGACATCACAAGGAGAGCACATTTGAAACTGAGCATTTTTCTGTATGCAGACCACAAACAAAGCACTGGATGGGTTTATTTCACATTTTGTGGGTCTGTAGACGCTCAGGTTACCCAAATATATGTTCAAAAACACAAAGTGGATTTTTCATATTATGTGCCCCTTTAAAGTATAATTGCCTTGTGCATATTTTATAGGAGTTTCAGTCTTTATGAGCTGCTTCTGCCCTGAGGATGATTTGTGAATAAGGCAGTAAGTCTCTACAGTGGTTGGGAAAAAGCCCTTGGACAAACCAGAACATTCAAATGAATCGTCTTGCTGCGTTATACGTATGAAGAGAACATTTATGTGAAGCTAAAAACTGAAACTGTGAATGTGTTACACTGCGGCACGAGTGACGATTCACACTTTCTTGTGTTAAAAGCATGACTTATTGTAGAATGTGTAATACTTTCAGTAGTATTACTTTGCAATGAGAATGTAAAATCCACAGGAAAGATTATTCTCTCTGCTTTCTGTGAAGAACTAACATCCTTAATCAGCGTAAAAAGGCCGATAACATGTGGCTCTTTCTGGACTTCAAATCCTCGTATCAGTGAATACTGTGCTGCACAAACATTCAGCTAAATGCCTCTCTGAATACCACTGATAACGTGTGTGTGTGTGTGTGTGTGTGTGTAAGCCTGAGCCCCTGTGCTTCTGTGCTTCTGTGTGTGTGTGTGTGTGTGTGTGTGTATCTCGGGTTGCCTTTGCCAGGTTATCTCTCTTACGTAATGATCCAAAAATAGAACGGATTCACCTGTACGGGAAAAAAGGATGAGAGGAGAAAAGGCAGAAAATTGAGAGCGTTAAAAAGACAGAAATTTGTAAAAGAGGCAAATGTGTACATGAAATGTTTGTGCAGCCATTCTTTACTATTTCCCTGCATGAGGTCCCATCCTATCTCATCCTATAATAACCCAATAATAAGAGATTTATCATATATGTGACATCGCTTAGTTACCTCTTTAATGTATTTGGTGTTTTCAGTTCAGGATTAAAGAAATGTATTGAACATTTTAAGTTAATATAACATTTTAACATTTTCAATTATCAACAAGTTTTTATAAGCATTTTTAATCTGCAGTGAAAACACCAATAACTCAAAATATCACTCATAGTTTTGGGCTTTTCTAATGATTTTAAAACAGGTAGATATATTTGATTTTAACTAGTTAATTTAAGATTAAAATTCTTGTATGGTGACGACCCTAGCATAAATGTTGTCTATGATATGCTGTTAATCTCTCTAAATTGATTACTCTGTGTTTCTGCGTTTACCTTTTAATCGTGGAGTCAGAGGTGACGTTGAGGACAGAGGTGAGGATCCAGTGTCAGAGTTCACTGGACACCACCGATCACACACACACTCACTATCGAGTTTTCTTTTATCCACTATTCCCTCCAGTTATGATCTTCTCTTACCACTTTCTTTTGCCTTCCTCAAACATGAGCTGATCTCTAAACCGTAAATTTTTACTGCTTACTGTAAACTCACCTGAGTAACACACACACACACACACACACACACACACACACACACACACACACACACTCTGTGACTCAGTGCAGAGCTCAGATGTCTGGTGTCAGGTCTCTGTTGCCCATCAAGGCGATCGGCGTAATTACCTGACCGTGCTGCGAGTGTGGGGGAAATAAGTGCCGGCTGACTCATTCTGCTCGGGAAAAAATACAAAGATATCAGCGGCAGATTAAGAGAGAGAAGTCCTCAGAGTAACAATGATAAATGTTGGAGCAGGCAGACGGAGAGGAAGGAGAGGGAGGGGGAAGAAGGTGCGATGGTTTCACCGGCTTCTCGGCTACAGGTGAGCTGCTGCCAGGTGACATTCTGCCTCTAGGAGAATGATATAACTAGAGTGGAACATCATTTTATTGTAGTTTTTCTTTTAGTTAAGTGGTTGTGAAACAAATTAATTCTTGACAGCCTAAATGTAAGGCTGGAGTTTTAATGGCTCTGGATGTTAGTAACTGTTGAAGGCTAATGGTGACAGCTTTTAGCGGGGAGCTATCAGGACTGTGCAGGTGTTTTTTCCCCTGTTAGTTTTAAGAACATCTAATAACTTAAAGTGGAAGATTTGCTCTGAAAAAAGAACCTCATTGACGTTCTCCAAAGTTTACCATTGTGTAAAAATGTGTGCTTTTTTGTGTTTCCCCTTGTCTCATATAGTGCTAATTCCTTTCCTTTTATTTCATCAACAGTAGCTACATGTTCTCAGCCAAAACTTGTCAAATATTGCAATTTGTTCGGTGGCCCTTAACTCCAAAAATGACACTCTATGTATGTATTAAGCCCCGTGTCCACCTAGCGGTTTTTTTTCCCGAGCTGCAGCGTCTTCATTTGTTTTCAATGTGTAGAGAGCGATCGCAGCAGCACGCTGGCGACTGGAAGAAAGCGCAATGCCCAGCTCCGCCTTTTTGCTGCGGCCACTCCGAGCGCTCAAGTTGAAAAACGTTCAACTTTTCAGAAAGGCGCTTGTTGACATCATCTGCGCTCTTTTCCAAATGTAAGATATTCCCCTTAGTTTTATGTCATGTACCCACCTCTGCCTCTGATCGGGAAATAAACGATCTAAAATATAAAACCTGCAGTAAAAAAGTAACGGAGCCGTGTCGGTCATACAGCGACCGTTGTCATAGAGACAGGACGGACTTGCAGCGCTTTTTTTTCTCAGTGCACAAAACGCTTCATGCAAGCGCTCCCGTTTGCTGCCAGGAAAAAAACAAACACTTTTTGTAGGTAACTTAATTTAACCTCCAGGTTGAAAGCCGTGTTTGACCCATCCAATGACGCTGAATCCCAACCGCACTTCTCTCACTCCTTATTCTGCGTCACATGACTTAGTCGCCACATCAGAACATTTCCCTGATTGGTCCTTACAGGTCATAGTTTGAAGCACAGGGCTAATTTCCAAGCTGCCGTATTTGACAGAGCATTAGACTGAAATCGGTAAATCTCTAAAATACAGTGATGGAACATTTCCAGCTTCAAGCAGCGGGTTAAAACTCCTGAGCTGACTCGGTTCAGATCACACAGGTGGTCTCTTAATGTGAGATGTAAGTTAACTTTTGAAAATCCCCGAGTAAACATTTTCCTGTAGAGAGAAACCGGCTTCACACTAAAACCCACACTGGAGCAGTTGTGTGCCTCTTTTGTCAAACAACTTCTCCCACATAATCACAACATCTTCTGCTTCGCGAGGCAGAGGATGTTCAATTCGATTCCTCCCACTTGCAGCTGCCTTTTTTTTTTTTTTTCGTGGCTCTTACTTACTTTGTTCTCGCTTATCTTTAATCAACAACCCTGCTGCCTAGTCATGGTGAAAAGACGGCCGCAAAGGAGCAGTGGAAGCATATTTAAACCACCTGAAAACAAGCTGAAGAAACAGCTCCTAATATTTTTACTCATTAGCATCGTCACAGTGGATTTGTATTTTAAAAAACAGGTGAGAAATGAAAGATTTGACACCTTTCTCTGTGTCTATGATCTGCATTTAACACAGAATATAATCTGCTCTTGTATCAGTAACAGCGTTCGCTTTCTACTGTAAAGTTACTGAAACACATGCACACACACATGAACACACAAACACACCATATTCTCCACCAATATAATTACTGGATGAGCTGCCGATGCTCCCGCTGTGCAGTTGGCATAGCAACGCTGACAACCCACCTCTGCTGGAGGAGGAGGAGGAGGAGGAGGAGAGGGAGGAAGAGGAAAAATAAGGAGAGGATGAAAAGAAGAGCAGTTATGGTAAAAAAAAAAAAAAAAAAAGGAGGAGCAACAAGAGAAAAGAGGGAGATTAGAGAGGAGGTGGAGGATCTGACAGAGCTGATAAAGACAGAGGAGGAGGAGGAGAGTGGAGGAGGAAGAGGAGGACGATTAGTTCCAGAGATAGAAAAAGAGGAAGGGTCCAGATGAAGAGAAGAAGAGGAGGGAGGCAGGATGATGAAGAGAGAGGGAGTAGGTGGTGTTAGAGCGAGAGGAGCAGAGAGCAGCTGCATTCAACTCTTCTATTCACGTTTTCATTTCATCTCTCGAGCGGAGGTTTGTTCAGCACACTGAGAGTCTCTCGCTCTCTTACCTGACTTGTTTGAATGTGAGCAGTTAGTGAGACAACACTTCTTTACAAATATGCCTTTGATGCGTCTACAGATAATCTAAGAGTGCATTTATCATCTATCACTTCAACAGACTCTAATTATTTAACCTTGTCAAGTCCACATTTATAGAAAACACTTTGATTTAGTTTCATATCAACAAAATCAAACTTCTTTATTATTATCCAAAAGGAAGTTGGATCTGCAGCAGGCATCAAGACCTGCTGCAGAATTACATTTTAGGACTTCATCTGACATCCTGAGGGGAATAGAGGGGGGTCCCCAGCAGGGGCTAATGCCATAAGGGGGTCCTAAAATAGACTTTATTAATCCTGCAAGGGAAAAATCCAGTTTTACACTCTGTTGTTGAGACATGCTAAACACACATGCAGGCTGAAATACACACACACATGTACAAACAGCATCCTGTGGACATGCACTGAAGGAGAGATGACAGAGTGAACACTTCTGAGCTCCTGAGCTGCTCAGAGGCACCTGGCAGTCCCCAGGAAGTCAACTGGCAACTCTCAAATTTCCAGCGGGACTTGAACCGGCGGCCATCCGGTTTCACGCCCAAGTCTCTCCAGACTGAGCTACTGCCGCCCCTTCGCACGGCAAGTTTGGGTACCCCTGCTTTAGAGCATATACCGGTACTTTGAAGTTTTATTCTTTGTTAGTAAAAGAATAATGCAACAATATTCAACTGTATCAAATCAAATCTTTAAATCCATATATTTAAACATCTTCACATCTTTAAATCCACATGTTTAAACATCTTTAAATCCACATGTTTAAACATCTTTAAATCCACATGTTTAAACATCTTTAAATCCACATGTTTAAACATCTTTAAATCCACATGTTTAAACATCTTCACATCTTTAAATCCACATGTTTAAACATCTTCACATCTTTAAATCTACATGTTTAAACATCTTCACATCCATATATTTAAACATCTTCACATCTTTATATCCACATGTTTAAACGTCTTCACATCCATATATTTAAACATCTTCACATCTTTAAATCCACATGTTTAAACATCTTTAAATCCACATGTTTAAACATCTTCACATCTTTAAATCCAAATGTTTAAACATCTTCACATCCATATATTTAAACATCTTCACATCCATATGTTTAAACATCTTCACATCTTTATATCCAAATGTTTAAACATCTTCACATCCATATATTTAAACATCTTCACATCTTTAAATCCACATGTTTAAACATCTTTAAATCAACATGTTTAAACATCTTTAAATCCACATGTTTAAACATCTTTAAATCCACATGTTTAAACATCTTCACATCTTTAAATCCACATGTTTAAACATCTTTAAATCAACATGTTTAAACATCTTTAAATCCACATGTTTAAACATCTTTAAATCCACATGTTTAAACATCTTCACATCCATATATTTAAACATCTTCACATCTTTATATCCACATGTTTAAACATCTTCACATCCATATATTTAAACATCTTCACATCTTTATATCCACATGTTTAAACATCTTCACATCTTTATATCCAAATGTTTAAACATCTTCACATCTTTATATCCAAATGTTTAAACATCTTCACATCCATATATTTAAACATCTTCACATCTTTAAATCCACATGTTTAAACATCTTCACATCTTTATATCCAAATGTTTAAACATCTTCACATCTTTATATCCAAATGTTTAAACATCTTCACATCCATATATTTAAACATCTTCACATCTTTAAATCCACATGTTTAAACATCTTCACATCCATATATTTAAACATCTTCACATCTTTAAATCCACATGTTTAAACATCTTCACATCTTTATATCCAAATGTTTAAACATCTTCACATCTTTATATCCAAATGTTTAAACATCTTCACATCCATATATTTAAACATCTTCACATCTTTAAATCCACATGTTTAAACATCTTCACATCTTTAAATCAACATGTTTAAACATCTTTAAATCCACATGTTTAAACATCTTCACATCTTTAAATCCACATGTTTAAACATCTTCACATCTTTAAATCCACATGTTTAAACATCTTTAAATCCACATGTTTAAACATCTTCACATCTTTAAATCCACATGTTTAAACATCTTCACATCTTTAAATCCACATGTTTAAACATCTTCACATCTTTATATCCAAATGTTTAAACATCTTCACATCTTTATATCCAAATGTTTAAACATCTTCACATCCATATATTTAAACATCTTCACATCTTTAAATCAACATGTTTAAACATCTTTAAATCCACATGTTTAAACATCTTTAAATCCACATGTTTAAACATCTTCACATCTTTAAATCCACATGTTTAAACATCTTTAAATCCACATGTTTAAACATCTTCACATCTTTAAATCCACATGTTTAAACATCTTCACATCTTTATATCCAAATGTTTAAACATCTTCACATCTTTATATCCAAATGTTTAAACATCTTCACATCCATATATTTAAACATCTTCACATCTTTAAATCCACATGTTTAAACATCTTCACATCCATATATTTAAACATCTTCACATCTTTATATCCACATGTTTAAACATCTTCACATCCATATATTTAAACATCTTCACATCTTTATATCCAAATGTTTAAACATCTTCACATCCATATATTTAAACATCTTCACATCTTTAAATCCACATGTTTAAACGTCTTCACATCCATATATTTAAACATCTTCACATCTTTAAATCCACATGTTTAAGCGTCTTTAAATCCACATGTCCTAACATCTTCTCAGGCTATTGTTGGTTGATGTGATTGTGTTCTTTCAGGAGTCGCTCCGGCTTTGTTTGGTCATCCCTCCTGTTTATTTGAATGCTTTTTAAACGTGCTTATTTTTAGAGTGCAGCGAATTTAACTGGCCTTTTTTATGCGGACAAATCTACTTAAAATAACTCTCAGGCAAAGTGTGTGTGTTTCTGTGTGCAGTCACAGAAGCTTGACACTACAGTTTGTGTTTGTGTGTGATAGTGTGTGTGATAGTGTGTGTATTTTAGAAGTGAGCCTTAATGCCTGTGATCCTGCCTGCTTTTAGTAGATTAGGGCTCACTCAAATGTAATGGTGCCCACGACCTCTTAATGAGAGTGTCTGTGTGTTTGTGTGTGTGTGTGTCACTCTGTGTAGAAGTGTGTATCCATTTACCTTGTTTTGTGTTGAGTACATTGAGTAGAGTGATGCAGCTGAGCTCTGACTTTCACTCTCTGCCTGTTTAGACGCAAATCGCTCTACGGATACACACTTTAATGCGAGGATCATCTCATTATACACACACACACACACAGATCTCATTCATTCATATATGATGATCTACTGTAATCAGTTTTAAATGATCCAGAAGGCTCAACACTCACAGCAAAAAGCAGAGGAAGTTAAGTGTTTTCAAAGTAAAGGTGTAACAATTCACTAATTCACTTAGCAGACTCTTTTATCCAAAGCGACGTACATCAGAGAGTAAGAACAACACAAGCAAGGATCTAGAAAAAAGGGAACAATGTCAGTAAGAGCAAACGATCAGCTTTGAGTCTGATTGGACACACAGGTGCTGACAGGAAGTGACCAGAGGCAAAGCACAACATTGAGGGCAGTTCTTGAGAGCTCTAATCAGTATAGAAACCATCTTATAAGTCGTCGTTATCAAACAAAAACCATCGTCATTACCATCGTCATCATCAATAATATGGAGAGCATCATCATTAAGTTAGTAGGTATTCATGAAAGAGCTGGGTCTTTAGCTTTTTCTTAAAGGTGCAGAGGGACTCTGCAGATCACATGGAGTTTGAAAGTTCATTCCACCACCGGGGGGCGACAGAGGAGAAGAGTCTAGTCAGCGTCTTAGGACCCTGGATCAGACGCCTTTCATAACGATGAGGATCTTGTTTTCACAG